TGCTATAAGTGCCAATTCTACTATAATAAACCCTATAAACTCACCGGTAATTCAAAACCCAAAAAGAAAATATAATAGCTGGAATAAAGAGGAAATTGACATAGTAACCAAATTTTTGTCCCAACCGGAAATGGAAAGAATGAAAATAAAGGACATTGCCAAACATATTGATATGTCAATAGCCTCGGTTAACAAATTAAGGCAAGAAACTTTTCCAGAGTTTATGGGGGGCCATTGAAACAATATCAAATTCAAAAAAAGGGATGCAAAAAAAAGACACATCCGAAATCGAAAGAAGGGTTATAAATATTTTAATGGATAACAACACCTCGACTATCAAAGATATCATAGAAAATTTGCCTCCAGGTTTCCCAAAAAATGAGGGGACCATCCGAAAATATATTAAAAAAATAGGATGGTCTAAAAAAAGGGCTGGAATAGAGCCCGATCGACGAAATACACCAGTAGCAATTCGCATTCGCCAGGCTTATTGCCTTAAAATGCTAAACATTCCTATGGAAAAAATGTTCTTCCTGCATGAAACAGGCATAAACCTACATGTTGTACCTGTGTATGCTTGGGCCCCCTACAACGTCACATCAACTGTGATAGTTCCACCTTCCAAAGGTAAGAACGTTAGCATTTTATGTACAATAGGAATTGGTGGCCTTATAACCTATCGAATTATTGAAGGGCCCTTTAATGGGTTGCTTTTCCTTGATTATCTGAGAGAATTAGTAACAATTCTTCCAAATGATGCAATTATCATTATGAATAATGCCGCAATACACAAGTGTCATCTTATTGATAGCTATAAAAATCGAATTGAATATCTTCCGCCATATTCACCTCAATTAAATCCTATTGAAAACTTTTTCGGGGTCATGAAAAACAAATATAGGTCTATACCAAGGCCAAACAATAGAGATCAAATCATAAATAATGTTACTTTGATATTAAATCAGTACATTCCGTACGATTTTACAAACTTTTATAATCATATGCATGATTTTTTGGAACTTGGTTTTCGGGGACAACCAATCAATTAAAGGTAATATAAATTTATATAATATTTTAAATATATTTTTATCTTTTCTCTATTTATATAAAAATAAAGATGCCAATTTCGGAACACTAAAAACTAAACGAAAATGCAATTTTAAAATATAATATTTTCTTACAAAATTAAATCATTATGTAAATTATTATTATTGTGTTTGTATTTGTAATTATAGATTATTATAATATATACAAAATAAAATATTCTTTGGTTGATAATTTTTATATTTCGTTCTTCTGAGCGCCTTTCTATAGAAAAAAGAATGGCATTTACATTTTAATTACTTTAAAGGTGGGTGGTGGCTGATTTTAAGTTTAAATTCTTTAGTGTAAGTCTTTATGATCAATATTGAGATTTAAAATTCATAGAATCTGAAATAAAGATCATTAAATACATAGTATTATTTTTTGTGATGATTTATACAATATTACCACTTATACTTCCAAATCTTACAAAAAATTAATTTTCCAATTACATACGATATTCTAGAAACATTTCATATGTGAATTCTTATGTTACTTTTTTTAAAAAAAATATTGTAAAAATTTGAAAAAATATTCACTTAAACTATTTTTTTCCTAATACATAAATGTGGTATTTATGTTTTTTAAAAACTTCATAATTAATTATTATACCACTTAATAGTTTTTGTTTTTATTATATCACCAAATAAAACACATGCAACCCTGTAATATCTTAAAATCACTATAGTATTTAATCCTATTGATTTTGAAGTTGTCTATTTCATTAGGGACAATCCCAATATAGAAAAATTAAAATTGGGAATAATCTATAACCGATTAATTAGAAGTGTTTACTATTTCATTTTTACGAAGATCACACCTTCTTGTGGTTTTTGATAATGCATATACTGAAGTATTACGCTTTAGTAACAGAGTTGTCAGGTCTCCATCAGCGGAAGTCTTCCGCAATTTTTTCCTCAACACATCACATAAAGATCTTCCTCCCGCAAAAATATCCCACAACTTTAACATTTTAACGTTTATAATTGATAATTTTTGAAACAGTATGTTTATATAATATATTATCTATTGTTGTTAAATAATTGTTATGAAATATTTTAATGAATTCAGTTCATCTAATAAACGAGTTATTGAATTAAAAGAATGGTGTGAGTTGTTACGCCATATCCCTATTAGATGGTTAATGCTAATACTAGCGATTGATAGTTTCATATTATATTATTAAATTATTTTATATAATTTACTTCGTTTTATAGCCGCAAAATTCATTTAATATACTTTTTGCTTTTCGATTAACATAAGATAATATAATTTCTTATCAGAATTCTCGCATGTCGAATATTGATCTTTATTAATATTAATATAATCCACCCATTAAATTGCGTTACATCTTATTCCTAATTTCATCATGGTGAAGGATAGAAATTATATTATGAATAAAGTTCCATTGAAAACATTGGATCTTAAAGTTTCTGCAGAGAACATTGTGGATGAGGCTACAAAAAAGTATAAACTTCTCGAGACTTATAAAGATATGGCTGTAAGTATTATGGATAAATTATCTTATGAACAAATGAAAAATTTAATTCAGAAAAAAGTAGAAAAGAATAAAATTATTAGAAATTTGAACTTTATATTACCAGACCAGATAGGATGGAGCCATCTAGATAATATTTGGATGGTCCTAAAAGTTGTGGTTCTGGCCTTAATACGGAATTCATTGCTGTAGAGATGATTAATTGTCGAAATGAAAAATCTAAAGTAAGACTTAGAAATTTGAATACTATTGACGATAGAGTGGTTAAATTTCAATCGATGGAGGTTTCGGGGAATAATGATAAAATATGGACAGATAAAGAAATATAGAGAAGAGATGACGGAGAAAGAAAAAGCAAACATGGGTTGGAAAGACAAGAAAAATGCATGATACAGATACCTTATAACTTAAGACCGCGCAACAAGATTAATTATATTAATAATTTTAATATTGACGTACAATTAAATAATCTTAAATTTTCATTTATGATAGATGCTGGTTTCAAGTGACGTCCTTACCAATTAAGGAGTTTAAAACTCACAAATAATGAAAACATTGATTAAATAACTTTACTTATGAAGGAGCCACCATCACAGGCCTTGGTCAAGTGTTTAATTGCAAAGTTAAATGTTATTAAATTTTTAAGTTTTACGTATTGGATAGGGATGAACCACCTTTATGTGGCCAAGATAGGATCAAGAAATTCAATTATAATTAATTTTAATTTCGACATAGACAGTGTTAATGAAAAAAGTGTAGTGATAAAATATATTTTTCAACTTCACAATCCTAAAGCATAGAAAAAAAGTATATAACGATGTTTTAAGTGATAATAAAGAATTTTTTTTAATTCCTTCAATTTATACTAAGGAATATTTTTCCAAATCTAAAGATATAATAATTTAATTAAAAAATTTAGTATTATTTTTAATAATAAAATAGGAATAGTTAAAAATTTGAAAATAAATATTTTACAAAAGGATAATTAATTATAGGCCAGGAGAGTACTATTGGAATGGGAAGAAGAGATAATTCTTGAACAATGGCACAAGGAGGATATTATAATTCCTGTAAGATTTTCACAATGGGCTACACCTTTCGTTTTTGATAAAAACGATAATATTTTGCGAATATGTGCCGATTTTAGGCCTACAGTAAATCTACATATAAGTGCATTTGAGTTATAAAAGTATCCAAGAGGAGGATTAAGAGATATATTTTATAGTATTTTTCGACTGACTCTATATTAATATTGGAAGGTTAGGATTCGCCTTCCTGCGAATAAAGGTAGTCAAATATCAAATTCATAAAGTTCTGCTTTTGACTAAACAATGACACAATTTATGAAATTCGTCCCTAATTTCTTTAAGTTACAATATAGCTTTCAAATATTCTCATAGTCTCAACAAATTGATGTTATTTTTTGAAATATTTTAATTTAATTTTGCAGTTAAAAAGTTTCAATGGTGAAAAATTTTAAAAGGTAGATAAATGTAACACCAAGGAAAATTCAAAATCGATATTAATTCAAAGAATAATTTAGTAGTGTACGTATTTCGCTGTGAATTAAAATAACTGACTTTTTTAAGTACTATAAAGTAATAATTATGAGAGTAAAAAGGAAAGTCAAATAAGCCATATTCCCTAAAAAGGCCAAAAGTCCGCATTTTACGGGCCAAGTTTCTCTAGAAATTTGAAAATTTTACATGAACCCTGTCCACAAAACATAGTGAGCGCAATTAAATATAACGTATCTTTAACAAGATCGCAAAAAAATAAATTCCCAACTTTCCAATGTTCCATTTTTCGAATATTAAAAAAACAGGAAACCTTTTTCTTATATTCTTTCTACACTAACTATATTAGGAAAATATATTTCTTTAATCGTTGTTTAAATGAAATTAATATTCAATTAAAACGATTAAATTTTTCAATCTATTCTTATAATTATTCAATGATTTATTGGAAAATTGAGCTGTGGTATAAATCCTACAGGTCAACCTGATTAGTTATGAAAATTAAAGCTAATTGAACATTGACAGATTGGTGGAAGAAAGAGCAAACAGCTTATCCACAAAATAATTTAGAAAATAAATTGAGTTTAATCAATGGTCTTGAACCACCTTTTAAGAATAAAAAAACTAGAATCAAAAGTGAATTATAATCCTAACAAGATCCCTCTCCCCCTTTATCAGATTTTATATTATTTACATTTATGTTTTATAAAATTCAAGATTACTATATATTGTCTTCCACCTTTTAAAAAGCCATGCATTTAAATGTAACTTACTTGTTAATATGTTCATTTTTTAAAAAAATGTATGCCTAGTATTAGAATTAAATATTTATAGTTCACAAATTCAAAAGTTAGAATAAAGTTAAAAAGTGGAAATGTGATGATAAATATTTGCGGAGTAACCTAGAGTCAGTGGTAGGCTTATTCATAAACCCCCACTTCATGCCAGTTGGGAAGCCAGCGCCACCTCTTCCTCTTAATCCTGACTTTGTAATCTCTTTTAGTATCCAATCCGGTCCTTTAGCTAATATCTCTTTTGTTTTATACCAATCGCCACGCTTAATCGCACCCTTTAAATGCCAGTCATGTCTACCATATAGATTTGAAAAAATACGATCTTCATCTTTCAGGGAAAATATCTGAGAATTTTTTTAAATATATATATAAATTTAATTATGCTATTAGATATGGCAAATCTATTTTCGAGATAATGAAATGGATTATAAATTAGCAAAAAATATAGGTTGTCTTGTTAGAGCTCTAGTCGGGTTCGGACATTTAAAATTTTTTTCCTCGGGCTCGGGTAGTGCTGTAAGATGTGTCCGACCCGACCCAAATGTCAATCAGAATAACTGATATTGATATGTCTTTTTAATATGTTCACTATTATATTCTTTAAAAATTCTCTATATAAAAAATTAAATCATCCTTTTTCGACATCAATCATGCGAATTATTTTTACATAATCACAAAAATTTTTAAACTCGTTGAATTTTAACTACTTTTTATATTTAAGCGGAATAAAATTTATATGTATACAAATTAAATAAAATAAAATGCAACTTTATATGATTATTGATTAGATTATGTGGGTAGGTGGCAATATGTGAATAAATACACATAATTTTTTGTTTCTTAGATATTATAATATTTAAACTCAAATTATAAAAAAAATTCTAGTCAGACTCGTGTCGGACCTAAAATAAGGTACCCGGGCTCGCGTCGGGCAAAAAAATTAAATTCAGGCTCGGGCCACGAAAAAGTCACTTTGCAGACCTCTATGCTAGGCTGATCATTTATTTTATATATCTTTTGACACTCTTCACTACGATTTAAAAGAAATTGATTTGGTCTGCATTAGGAAAACTTTAATTTAAAAACAAAAATCGAACAGAAAGAGGAGAGTTCATAGATTGGTAGCCCATAGGAAGTTAAGAAAACAGTTTGACTTTCAATTTATCAATGTGGGAATGATGTGGATGCCAATCAATGACTCATGAATTTTAAAAATATATTGTATGTCTCATTTTTAATCAGTTACTTTATTTTTTAATATCTTCATTTTGACAAATTTAATATAGTTTTTTCCCTAAATCCAAATCTCTCGTAAATTTCTTCTTAGTAATTTTCCCTAAACATTATTTGTAGTGTTGTTAAGGTAACTAGTTACCTAGTTACATTTTTGCTAAAAAATAGCTGTAACTAGTTATATTTTATAAATTGTTGTAACTAGTTATATTTTTACCAATGTAACTGCCAAAAGTAAGTTACTTTTAAAAATATGTATGTGTAAATCTAAATAAAGGAAGATAATAATTCAGATATTGAATACATTTCAATAGAAGATATAATGTCTTCCTCTGGACTAACCAATTATAATAAATGACTTCGACTAACTTCCCAGGTATCGAAGATGATCCTGTCACACATTAAACTTAGTGATAACACAAGATGCCAATAAAATAATTTTAAACAATGAGGATTATAGGAAAGTGTATAAGGTTGCTATATCATGTCAACGTTTGTGGAATACACAAAACAAATCGGGGCCATAAGCTGAGCAAATTAAAAAGAGATTACATTCTCAGCTGCCATATTCCATTGTAACAAGATGGGGTTCTTTTTATACATCTTTATCTAATTATCACTTATAAATGAAACGCCTTTGGATCCGATTTATTATGTGATGAATTAGAATTGTGTAGATCTACATCACCAGATCGTGATTTTATTAAAGAATATTGCAGTGTAAATTTAAATTAATGTCTTATAAATAATTTACAATTAAAAAAATTAGATTATGCAACCAGTAGCTAAAGCTATTGATATACTAGAAGGCGAAAAATATATGGATCTAGGTTATTATACCCCAACAATAACACAGATACTTATCTGTCTAGAAGGTGTTCAAGAATTAAAATATTGTCAACCTTTAAAAGATGCTATATTAGCTAGTATTAAAAAAAGGTAACTTAAATTAAATAATTATTTACAAATTAATAATACAATGATATAGGTTTCATGATCTTTATGATAATGATAAAATAATTGCTGCTATTCTTCATCTACTATTTAAAACTGATTGGCCTTGGATAAGGCAAGAAAAGAATAGATCAAAAAAGATGGAAATTTTAAATTTAATAAATACTTTAATACCTCGCGGTGAATCTAACACAAATGGCTCATGTTCGCAACAAACATCAATAGATGTAGTGGATTTTTTGATTTAAAGCGTCAAAATATTATTGATAATGATGAGAATTTATTGAAAATTTTATTAAATCCAATAACAGCACATTATCTTTATTCTTTATTAAATATAATGTTGTTATTACATCAAGTGCTCCTGTAGAGCGTTTATTCAGTCTAAGGAAACTCATCTTTGGAGAGAAACGAGCGCGTCTCCTAGATAAAAATTTTAAAATCCAATTGTTGTTAAAAGCAAAGAAACATTTATTAAACTCAAATTTATGAAAAATAAATGTTTTTTTTTCAATGCCAATATATAGGATATTTTTATTCGATGTAAATATAAATATTCTATTATCCGATATTTTTTTCGGTTTACTTATTTTTTTATATAAATAAATTGTATATTTTTTTTAAACAAATGATTATAATTTGTATATCATTATTTTTTTATATTAAATAAATTCGTTCAGTAAATAAATGCGTTATATGAATGATGTATAAAGTAACTTATAATGTAAATAGTTACTTTTGAAAAATAACTGTAACTAGTTATGTCAAAAGTAACTTTAACAACACTAATTATTTAATATTTTTAATAATTCTAATTCAATTAGAAAATTATTAAAAATTTCGATATTATAAAGTCTATAAAAATTTTACAATGATAATATAATTTTCATATCCATCAATAATGTATCTAAAGACAATAATAATTATTTCAATTTGTTACATTTCTCTAAACATATATTGGGTATTTCCTTGATAAACCTTTTCGTTAACTTATTATTTCTTGTTGAGTAGTATAACATATTATCTTTTCCTATTTCATTAATCATGATCTTTAACCTATATATAACATATTATCTTTTCCTATTTCATTAATCGTGATCTTTAACCTATAGCAAACTTTCATGATTTGGAATCATTGTTACAATCTTTTAACTGATCCACATGTTTTCACAATTTTCTTTGGGAGTGCCAACAATATATAAGTAAAAACCTGTTCTCTTTATCACCCTATCTTTCGAACCTTTGGTATTCTCGTTATTTAACCATATATGTTGTAAAATTTTAAATTGACCCCTTTAAAATGCAAGTCATGATTTGGACGTTGTCCCACATTGGACTTTTCAATTTCATGCTAGATCTAGTCTTATACAATACAACATAGTTTTTAATTGTCACATAAGTTTGACAGCAAATCACTATGTAAAGATATGCTCTTCCATTCGATAGGTCATTAAAACTTGTGTCTAGACAATCATATCAGGATTGACTCTCTCGCTACATTGTTTAATTGTAACTTGATGTGGCATCCCTAATTGAATGCTACTAACTAACCATGGTAATCCAAAAAAGCAGGATCCATCTTCATGATCCAATCTTGACAGTAATTTGAATCGCATTCTTAGCATTCAATGAGTGATCTCCATATTTTGTTAATGGGTAGGTTGGCTTGATTTTTATTTTTGGTTGTCTAATACCTGTCCAAATACTCTAATTGATCTAGTGTTAAAATCAAATTCAACTTAACTGTGTAACTTGTTTTACTCAATTTTGCTATACCCTACATAATATTATTAGTAAAGGTGTACCGATACCACTTTTTGGAGGTTGATCCGAAATGATATTAAATTGATATCGGCGAATTACTTATCCAATATCATATTTTATATTGTATTCTCTAAACATACTAATCGTTTTAATTTTTAATGCATATAAGTGTTGCATAATCCTTTTGAGCCGATTTTTAAAAAAGGCCGACTAAATATTTTATCCAGAAAAATATTACGCAAGCTTGAAGATTTTCTCATATATGACATAAAGACATGGACATCTATTAGCGAAATCTCAAGGTTTAAACACGATTTTTTTGCCTAAAATACTGAGTTACCTGTTTTCAAAAATCGGCTCATGAAGCGATTTTGCATCACGTCATACATGCACCTACTCATTTCATATACTTTTTAATAGTATAACTAGTGTTGTTAAATAGTCGAGTTCTCCCGACTTCGTTTCCGAGTCGATTAGTCGACTCATTTTTACAACTCGAGTTATGAACTTGAGTCGTTGACTCAGTCGCGATTCGAGTTATGAACTTGAGTCGTGAACTCAAGTCGCGACTCGAGTTATGAATTTGAGTGGTGAACTCAACAGGTTAACTTAAATTTTATGAAACTCGATTACTTATATTAGTGTTGTTAATTGTTGTTTAATACCCAGACCTGGCACTTGGCTCTAAAATCGACTAATCAGCTATGGCATGAACCCAGACAAACACATATATTTTAATATTTCTTATTAAAGTATATAAATATATAATTATTAGAGGTATCAATCGATAGATAATTTAAAAAACCTATTGAATAGGCAACAAGCCAAGCACTACCTCTCGATGGGTGAAGCTATTACTAGGGAAGGGGGGGGGGGCAGGATTAATTTTATGTATCAAATAAGCCTAGTTCTACCTTAATATGGTGAATATGAGTATAACCTGGTGGAGGGGGAAATATTTGATATAGTTACTCATATAACTGAACTGCTCATGAAAAACGTTGCTTTAATTATAATATTTTTAACAAAAAAATATAAAAATGCAAATTTTATTAATTCAATATTTAATAATTATAAAAATACTATAAAAACTAGGTCAAAATATCTTCAGGTATTTTTATTGCCATTATAAACGTATGGGTAGTGTTGTTAAAAGTCGAGTCATTAGTCGAATAAGTCGACCAACTCAAGTCGTGAACTTAAGTCTATAAACTTGAGTCGACTAGAGGACGAATAGTTTTATAAACTTAGTCGACTAGAGGACGAATAGTTCCATGTACTTAGTCGACTAGAGGACGAATAGTTCTATGAACTTAATTAGTTATTATTAATTAATAAAACATTTGTTCTGTTTTTTTATTTTAAACTTTCGACTTTCAACTTGAGTCGTGAA